TTCGACTTATTATTTAAGCTATTTTATGTGCTTAACGTATCTTATCCTGTATCTTTAAACAATTTTTTTAACTTTATCGATTTTTATATATTTAAAATCGCCAAAAACGAGCAGTGTAGTAACATCATTGCATGTAAACATTACAAATTTTCAAATTGAATAATATGTTCATATAATGCAATGACTACTTCATTATTTAACATTTTTTGTCATCTCATCTTTCCCGACCATATTCAATAAATAAATATTTTCTTCTTGATTGGTGATTTCGATCAAATGAATATATCAATGTCGAATAATTTAATTTCATTGCTTTATTCATTGGATCGAAATTGCCAATAAAGAAAGAAATGTTTACCTTTATTTCGATTTCAATAGAAAATTCTCTTTTATTTCACTAGTTGAATCAGTGAATAAGCGAATAAGATATCCACTGATTTATGCAGTGACAAAGTAATGTCACTGATTCAAACAGAGAGTATGTACTGATTCGCAGTGGTATACTTATAACTTCAACAAATAGTGACTATTCACTGCAAATTAGTGAGTTTTCACTGTTTCAAATTAAGAGAGTAACGATCGGAGCACCGCGTGAGCTCTCGCAAGATGTCCGTTAAACGTATATATTCGAATCACGTGCTGCGATTGGCTTACCGACTATAATAATAATTTATTTCAGGAGTATGAATAAATAACTGAGTTAACAGATTAACAAATGGTCTTTAATACAATCTTCACTGAATACAATTTAATATCACGTTAACTACTGAGAGACTAGATTTACTTCGACGACTTTAATTCTACGACTTGCTTTATTGCCGGCTCCAAACAGAGTGCCTCTTCACTTTTCGCTCTGAATAATGCAACAGGTCCTATACTTTCCAGCATGTTCTCGAACGTTTCCGCATCCGGTTACGCGCGCAAGTATCGAGTTGTTCTATCGATCGAGTGTCGATGTATTTCGATTCGATATATCGCTGGCAGCCTTACTGGCGCCGCCTGTCGACTATTGAAGAATCTTACAGCATGATTAGTAATTAAAGGATTTGTTCAAAAGAAAGGAATTGATTTCCAAGCAACATTCGCTCCGGTAGTACGACATACATTTCTGAGGATTCTATTCGCCATGGCAGCCAAACTGGATCTAGACATAGATCATTTGGACGTAGTAACTGCATTCCTTCATGGAAAACTAGGAGAACAAATCTATAACAATCCAAAGAATACATTGTAACAAATCAAGAGAACAAAGCTTGCAAATTAAAAAAAGCTATCTATATATTAAAGCAAGAAAGTTGAGTCTGGAATCAAATACTAGACAAAACATTGATGGAGCTAAACCTCAAACAATCAAAATATGATCAATGTATATATTTTCGCATCAAGAATAATGACATTTTAATTGTTGCTGTTTACGTGGACGATTTGCTTGTACTATCAAACAAACAGGAACTCACCCAGGTAGCAAGGTGTCGTCTATTTGACGTCAATAGTTCGTCATTTGAAGTCGCGGACGTGTCATGTTACCAAATTAAGACGTAATAATGATGTCATTTTTTTGACCTATTAATGACGTTAGTTTTTTTACCATTTTATAACGTATTTATAACGTCACATTTTTCACTAATTAATAATGTCAGTTATTTGACTGTGTCGACACTCGTGCAATATAACGTGTTAAAGTATTATATTCTTCTTGTAATTGTGTGTACATCATTTGTATGTCAAAATGTTAAAGTTGATCAAAAAGATTATAATTAACGTCAGTAATTGGTCACTGAGAACTTTTAAACAGTCAAATAACTGACGCTACTAATTAGTGAAAAATGTGACGTTATAAATACGTTATAAAATGGTAAAAAAACTAACGTCATTAATAGGTCAAAAAAATGACATCATTATTACGTCTTAATTTGGTAACATGACACGTGCGCGACTTCAAATGACGAACTATTGACGTCAAATAGACGACGCCTTGCTACCTGGCCAATTTCCTTATGCATATATTTATGTAACTATGCAAGTTTGTCTGGATAGGCCCTTACTATCTGGTACATATTCAAATAATTTTTATGCGAAAACATGCGCAAACGTATAATAATAAAAGGACCAATTAGATTGATTCCCTCTATTATGCGCAGAAGCGTAAAGGAAACAAGCAGAAGCAGATTAATTGGTAAAATTGGTTATTGACACCGATGTGAAGACGTGGTGTATCAAATGAAATATATATTAATGACGTAAAAGTTTTATTTCTAAGAGGTAAGTTTGTACATTATAATTATTTAATTAATTTATGCAATACAAATCTGTTCGTATCTTTTGTTAGTATAAAGCATGCGTCACACATGTATATTATTGAATATAGCATATTTATTTTATTTGTTTATTATAATTATTAATAAATAATGAATAATTAATTATTTAAAAAGACACAAAAATGTAAAATTAATTATAAATTTGTATTAAAAGTAGAATAATTGATGTATTCGTATAATGGTTAACATAACCTTTTGCATTGATATAACATATATTTTGTTCTTTTCTTTTTATATATTTATCTTTTGTTTGTAATTATTATTTATCATATTATTTTATTAGTTAATTTTAATTTAATAATAAATTTAAGAAATATTTGTAAAGATATGATGACAACCAATTTATAGGGAACTTAATTTATCGAAGAAGATGGAAAAACCAATAATATTGCTATAATAAGCAGCAAGTGGCTAACACCTAAAAAACAACAAACTTTTTGGCCTCCGTACAAAAAACAATATCAATATGAACAATCATTAAAAAAAGGTGAAACAATAACTGATAAATGGACTCTTTATGACATTCAAAAAATTTTATTTGTTGAAAAAGGTAAGAAGTAAAATTATTAACATCATAAATTATTGGCTCAAAATATTAACACATTTATAATTTTTGCAGATAATAATTATCAAAAAGCGAAAAAACAATTACAATTTTGTGAAGAAAATTCTGATATACCATCTGATTTTGATGCAACATTAGAAAGATTAAATAGAAATAATACATCGCGAAATAAAAAATCACCTAATCGTTATTGTGACACTGAAAGCAGCAGTAACAACGAAAATAATAAGGAATTCACTCGGCTGAAAAAGAAATCACATAAAAATAATCGTTTGTCAAGGCCTCCCACGATTTCAGGTAATTAAGAAATATCTTCCGTTTTTTATAATTTTCAATTATAATTTTTTTAAATTACAATAAAAATAATCTAAAGTTACTTATATTATTTATTACAGTTATTTATTACAAAAAAAATACTTTATATAAAATGTTAAATATAATACCTTCTATATAAACTTTTATATACAAATCTTTTATGTGTATATAATATACAGGGTGTCTGGCAATAATCGCCCCACCGGTCATATACAGGTAGAGGAGGTCAAATCGAGTAGAAAAGTCCTTTACCATTTTTTGATTTTTGTAATAAGTACTAAGTAATTAACGAAAAAAGATTGGTGAATCCGTGCAAGTAAAGCGCGCGCAGCGAGAAGGACATCCCACGTGCTATGCGATCACTAGGCGCGCGATGAAGCGTTGGGAGGAGCGCTCTACAAATGACAATGGCAACATACGAGCGGCGCGTAACGCTAGATCCTTGTGTCCTAGTGAT